AAATAAAACGCCCACTCTCCCCTCAAAAAAATTTTTTTAATATTTATTTTTCAGTTTTCGGTGAACACCTTTATTTTATTTTATGTGGTGCTGAGGATCGAACCCAGCGCCCCGTGCATGCCAGGCGAGCACGTTACAGCTTGCGCCACATCCCCAGCCCCTCCCCTCCAAATCGAATGCCTCTCATTGCTGCTTTATTGTCCATCATAGCACTTCTAACGTAACATATGAAATTCACGGATGTCATTTCCTGCAGTAGGTTCCCTGGGGGCAAGGAGTTTTGCCTGGTGTGCTTTTTTCCCTAGTATCCACAGCACCTAGAACATAATGCCCGCACACCATAAGTGCTCAATAGCTATTTGTTGCATGGATAAAACCATCTGTCTTTATGCCTGGACTTGCTGTTCAGCTGAAAGTTTTTCAAGGGCAGTGCCTAGCGCATAGTAGGTGGTCAACATGTGGCTACGGATCTGTCGGCCAGGGTCGTTGGGGAAACAGAGGCCGTCTGGCCAAGCCATCCGGGGAAGGCCCGTGGAGGTGCCAAGGGCCTCTGGTTGAACACTGTGTCCCCTGCTGCCCTGCTCCTCTCAGCCCACCCCAGAAAAGTCCCAGAAAAGTCAGGGGAAGGCACATTTCCGTTCCTTTCCAGCGGTTTTTATTCTCCCCGTGAGAAGACAAATCTGCTTCCCCTCTGCCAGAAGGCCCCGAGCCACGGCTCCTTCCATTAGAGTAATTAAATCCCTGCTGCGAGGAGCGTTCAGGAGACCAGCGGGCCTCGTGCCAAGGGCTGGCCCGCGGGCAGGAGGCGTCGGGGAGGGCGGCTGGCCAGAAGGCCTGTCTCTCAGCTGTCCCCTGAGAGCCAGGAAATCCACTTACCACGATGCCTTCACAGGTTTTCACCTGGGGACGGAAGACAGACCTCCCAGCCCACCATCCAACAGACCCCTCGGCCAGGAACGCCGCAGCTGCCGATTCCGGGGGACCCCCACCGCCCTTCCAAAGACGGCCAGCGGAAGCTCCTGCTCCTCCCGCCCATCGCTCCCATTCTCCAGATGGCAGAACAGAGGCCAGGGACCAGTGTGCTGGGCCGTGCCYGGCGGTTCTCTCCACCCACGAGCTCCGCTGACCTTTGCTGACCTCACACAGGCCAAACCCCCATCACAGGTGTTCGGACAGCAGCATGTCACTGACTCCTCGCAGCAGCCCCAGCACCCGGGTTACAATGACAACCCCCTGCAACCTCCACCAGGACACTGAGAATCAGAGCATGGAAGCAATTCCCGCAGCCCCACAGTCAGGAAGTGACAGAGCCAGGACGGAGACTCGGATCCACCCAGGTCAAAGCTGCCGTGGCGCCCGCCTGTGATTCAACACAGCACGGGAGGCTGAGGCAGGAGGACAGCAAGTTTAAGGCCAGCCTGGGCAACTTCATAAGACACTTCTCAAAATAAAAAATAAGAAGGGCRGGGCTGTAGCACAGCGGTAGAGCACCCCGGGGCTCAACCCTAGTCCTGGGGGAGAGAGGAACAGACCTGGAGACGGAGCCGAAGGTCAGCGTCCTCCACAAGCTGCGCAGCCAGAAACCAGAGCTGGACGGGAACCCAAAGTGCCTGCTTATGACGGCTCAGCTGACCCCTTCCACCCGCGGAGACTTCCAGGGCCCCCGCCAGGCCTGCCCTGTCCCTGGCTCCTGGAGACTCAACACACCTCTGCACTAAATCCACAGCACCCCTCCGCCTCCCCGCACCCTTCCGCGAGCCCAAGTCGTCCACCAAAGCTCTGGTGGGAGCTGGAAGGGCAGGGGACAGGGGTTGGGAACTCTGAGGACAAAAGAGCCCAGTCCAGGAGATGCCGTGCACAAGCCCATCTGCGGCTGGAGCCAGCAGGGACCCGGCCCTGGGTTTGAATCCCAACGCCACTGCTTCCCAGCCAAGAGGAAGCCACTGGGCAAGTCACCTAACCGCTCCCAACCCCAAGCCTGTCCTCGGCCAAATGCGGGTGGGTATATTCACCTCACAGTGTCGTCAGGAGGATTTAATGAGATGAGCTGAATAAAAGCATATAATAAATACTTGCTCTGGGGGCCGGGGCTGGGGCTCAGTGGCAGAGCACTTGCCGGGCACGCGTGAGGCACTGCGTTCGATCCTCGGCACCACATACACAGTAAATGAATAGAGGCATTGTGTCTCGACAACTGAAATATATATTAAATAAATAAATAAATAAATAAATATGTGTTTCCTTTTCCTCCCCATCTCTTCTCTTTTTCGGTCCTTAATAAGATTCCAGGTCACCAGGCCTGGTGGCCCACACCTGTCATCCCAGCGGCTCAGGAAGCTGAGGCAGGGGGATTCCAAGTTCAAAGCCAGCCTCAGTAACTTAGCAAGACCCTTTCTTAAAATAGAATATAAAGGTCAAATGTTCTCTCGGATACGTAGATGCTAACCCCTAACAAGGGAGGGTGTGGGGCGGGGAGGAAGGGAGGGGGATGGGAAGAGGAGAGACGGCAGGAAGAATCAGCAGAACTCTCCTGTGCTCATACATGAATACACAGCCCACGGAACCCCACACCACGTCCAGCCACAAGAATGGAATTAAACTTGTATTGGTTGCACCCCACGTATGTATAATATGTCAAAATACACCCTACTGCCATGTACATCTAAACACAACCCCCCCCAAAAAAAAAAATATATATATATATATGGCGGCTAGGGATATGGCTCAGTGGGTAAACAAAAAACATTCCTGGGTTCAACAACAACAACAACAAAAGACCCCTTGTCACTCTGGAGGACATTTTCCATTTTAGGAGCGTGCAGCATTCTCCCGAGCTCCGGGGACAGGAGCATGATATATGATCCCATCTGCCTGCGAGGAGACCCCTCATGACTCAGCCTCCACCAGAGACTCGCTCTCAGCTTGCATCAGTTTCACTTCACTCCTGAGGGATCTCAGGATCCCTGGCAGACAGCACGGACCCAGCCTGGCGCCTTGTGCCCAAATGCCCTCCCACCCGGCCCGGCCCCATTACTTCCCTGGGAGCAGAACCACATGCCAGGTCCAGCCCAGAGCAGGAGTAGCCTGGAACCACGGGCTGGGAAGGACCTCAAATGATCCCCAAGGCCACGGAGCTCTCCAAGAGACAGTCGAGGCCAGGGCCACCATTAACCAGAAGGGACGAGAGGAAATTTGTTTCTGGTTTTGTTTTCCCCGGGGCTGGGGATGAAACCCCAGGGCCCTGAGCATGCGAGGCAAGCACCCTACACTGAGCCACCCCCCAGTTCCACCCTTAATAGGAGGAAACAGAGCCCACTCTCCAACCCTCCACAGCCAAGTTGCCAGGCCTGGCTCGGGCTGTGCTGAAGCTTGCGCTCTACAGGAACACAGAGCAGCCCGTCTGGTGGAGGAGAGACCCCGGAGCTGACTCAGTAGCTGGTCCACAGACCTTGTGCACTCCCGGAACCAAGGATGCTTAGGGGATGGGGTTGGAAGAAAGAAAACAAGGACTAAAACACAGAATCCTTGGGTTCCTGCTCTACCTTTGCTGCTCGCCATGCTGAGTGGCCTTGGACAAATCACACAGCTTCTCTGGGCCTCAGAGCCCTGTAAGCACAGTCTGAGCCCCGCCTTACCCACAGGGGCCTGGCCTACCCAGCCAAACTCAGCGAGGCCGTTCAGGGAAGGCATGACCCACACCAAGCAGATATGCTCCCAGAGTCATGCCACCCGGGTCATGCCACCCGATGCCATATGGCTCCACGCCCCTCCAAATACCATGGTCCCACCCAGAGGGAGCAACAGGGCTACCCTGAGCCTCCCCTCAGGAGAGAGGGCCACCACCCTGTCTCACGTGCAGGAGCTATTTAGAGAGCCAACATCTCCCCCACTGGAATTCAGAAAAGAAAGAAAATGGCCAAGCCCCAATTTGTTAAAATCAAGAATCTCCGAAAGGAGAGGCCGGGCAGAAATTCCTGCTGCTGGAACCTGAGCTTGCAGGCAGGTGCCAACTCAGGCGAAGGCGCGAGGAGGAACCGCCATTCGCTGGCAGCCTGGACTGCGCCAGCCATGGCGCGGGCCACTTACCCAGCCGTGATCAAGATTCTCATCGTTTGTAAATGGGGAAACTGAGGCTCAGAGAGGTTGAGTCTCGGGCCTTCGGGAAACCCAGCAATAAGGAGTGGGCCAGAGTTAGCGCCTGGTACCATTTCTTCCTGCCTCCCCACAGGGCCTCCTTTTGTTCAGAGCCACCTACAGGTCACCAGGAGAGGTGGCTCAATCTGGTCAGCTGATCTACCCATCTGCTGGGCAACTCTGGGCAAGGCACCCACCTTTCTGGGCCTTGCCGTCTATCACCTGAAACTCCACCCGTGTGGACCAACCTCCGCGGCCCTTGCAAGGAGGATCCCCGAAGCCCACCCTCCTGTTCATCTGACACAAAGCACCGCTCTTGTCCTTTAAGAAAAATGCCCAAGAAGCTGACTCAGAAATAACAGATGCCAATTTGCATATTACTTCACACATCATTTGCATGCTGTTCATTTAGTGTCACCAAGGCTCTGCTCAGACGACAACCCTGGTTACCTTGTGGCCAGGCTTGGTGGGGGGAGAAGGGCTTCCACACAGGCAGGTCGGGGTCACCCCTCCCCCGCACAGCTGCCCTTGGTGCCCCTTGGTGCCCCTTGGCACCGGCCGGGGAAAGTCACCAATGGCCACAGCCTGGTGTTGTAAGCAGGTATTCGAGGCAGAAAGCGCCCTTGGGATTCTGGAAACCACCCTCCYGAGTCCACAGAGCACTTCCTGTCAGCCCTCTCCCTGGAGCCCTGCCCCCGGCCTCTTTCTGCCTGGTCATCCTGTGTCCCCGTGTCCCCCTGTCCTTCCTCTAGGCCTCTCAACCTCTGGCCCGGCCCCATGGGTTTATTTTTGTTCTCTCTCCACCTGTCCAGGGTGAATGTCCCCGTCCCATCAGCTAGGCCCAGGCCACAGACGGCCAGCTCGGGGCGGAGAGGAACTGGCCCCGCGGGACAAGAAGGTGTCAGAGGTCCAGCCCCACCTTCCAGAAAGGATCCACTCCCCTCTCCCCGAGACCATCCAGAAACACGCCCGGGGAACACGCCACCAGAAGGAAGGACGTGATGGGACTCAGGGCCTGTCCCTCCTCTTCCAGAGCCCCTTCCTCCTGGCCCTGACACACCTCCTTGACAGCAACCTGCGGACACGCACAGGTGACACCCACAGTCCTGTCTCTCCAGTGTGACCCTCCAGGCGGCACCTTCTAATGACTAACACAAGCAACGTCTGGCAGACACTGGGGCTCGCTGGGTACCCTGCTCTGTGCTGGGCGTTTTCCTACACATCGGGGTTGGGGTTCACCTTGACCATCTGAAGAAACAGGATCCAGGTCCAGTAGACTTCCCAAGAGCCCACCACTGTACACCACCGAGGCAGGATTTGAACCCAGATCCCAGGCCCTGAACCCTGAGCTCCTGACAGTTCCCTCAACGTTCAGTCCATCACTGCTCATGCCCTGCCATGGGCATTTGTGACCTGGACTCAGATGACAAAATCCCAGAGAAGGGAACGGGGGTCCGCTCTTATGTTTAAACTAAAGAAATGGAAGGCCAGACTCAGGGAGGGACTGGAAGTAGGATGTGGGAGCCCTCCCCAGGGCCCCCCGGAGCAGAGGCAGCCCTTCTTCAGCACTGACTGCAGCTGACATGAGGCCCAGTCAGAAAGGGAAAGGGGATTCCAGGGTAAAGAAGAAAATTCTAGAACCAGGAGCTGAGAGAGCCCTAGCAGTCTCCTCTCCAGTTCCCAGCAGAGGTTTGTGGTGGCGGCTGGCCACGCACTGGAGACCTGAGCCTCATTCCAGAGCCATTTGTCCTGCACCTGGCCTTCAGCCACTCGGTCCTGTGACCACCTGGACCAAGCCCCAGAAACCTGCAGCTCTGTTTCTTCATCTGTGCAATTCAATTGGTTGTGGTGACTCCCGAGGCCATCGTGGGGACCCTGAGGGACACAGGCATGGAAATACCTGTAGGATGTAAGATGTTGAGCCCACGTGGACGGCCCCTGGGAAGTGACCGTGTGGCAGCACTAGAGAGGGAGCAAGAGGATGCAGAAGGAGCCGGACAGAGCCGAGAGTTGTGTGTGAAAGCGGTCACTGAGGCCTGGGGATGGGGCCACGGCAGGAGCCTCCACCAGGTCTTGGAAGGACAGGCTCCTGTTTTCTCTGTAATCCCCACACCTACCCACAGCTCGTCCAGTATCACCATGAGGGCAGTATCACCAAACCCTGTGTGTGACATCTCGGGGACCCACCATGGGCCTCTCCACGGCCTCACCCTGAGCTCAGGCTACGCTGCAGGTACCCCCTCCCTGGCGGCCCCCAAGACCCCTGCCTTCTGTTGGCCACACTGACGTCCCCTCCACGTCCAGTCCTTCCTGCGCGTTCTTGGTAGAGAGCCTCCTGTCTCAACAGGTTGCCTCTCTGGCCTCAGGCCCTTAGATCTTGATTTGAATCTAAGCAATTTGGGCTGGGGGTATAGCCCAGGGTACAGCACTTGGTATACGCCAGGCCCTGGGTCCCCCAGAACCACCAAAAATCATCATCATCATCCTCATAAGTAAAGATCATCTCTTTCTCCAGTAGCACAGCAGGCAAGCGAAAGGGCACGACCTTGAGAGAGTCCCAGCCAGTGACCTCGTCTGCAACGGACGCCTGAGGGTCACCTACGTCCAGGGCCTTCTGATGTACAGTCATCCACTGCTCAACAGAGGTCCTGGCCTCTCTCTCCTGTCACCCGGCAACACCCCAGCACCGTGGAGGCTGGGCCTCGAGGTACAGCAGGACCGTCCTGCCCCCAGCCCCGCCTCCCCTCCTGCCTCCCAGGTCCCATTTGAGCCCCTGGGGGTGGAATGACAGGGGCGGGGGGAAGGAGCCCTAAAAACCCACCAGCCCCCTCTGGACTCTCGTCACCAGGAGAAAAGGCCCGAGAACCTTCCTCCCCGCAGCTCCTGAGAACAGCAGTCCTAGCATCCCCACCCTCGTTAGTCCAAGAGGACGAGGGGACTCTCCTTTCCCCCCCTCAGGGATTTCTGAAAGCAAGAGAAGAAAAACAGTTCCCAGTGAGAACCCTGGTCTTCCTGTCACGGAGCCAGGGACAAGTGGCATGTCATCGGCACACAGCCACCCCCCACCCCCACCCCCCCCACACTTTCTCATTTTCCCCCCCAGACAGGCTTCACAGATGAGGCCGCAGAACCCCAGCTCCCGGTTGGGACTGGACATTTCCATCAGGACTCGGGTTCGCTGCACCGCTCACTTGCATCTTGGTCTTATTTTGTTCTTCTTTGCCTAACACTTTTTAAAGCGGATCTTAGTGGCCTCGCAGCAGCTCCTCGGGGATAGACAGGGCACCCCCTTCCTGAAAGCTGACTCAGGGAAACAGGAGGCGTCAAATAGCTTTCTAATGAGCCTGTTCAGGGGACGAACGCCCAACCGCCAGGCCAGTGCCCGTCCACCCAGATGATGCCGCCTGCGGGGAGGGGAAGCCCGGAGGGACTGTCAAGCCTTCCCCAGGACAGTTATAAATAGTGTGGTGACAGGCAGAGGAAGGCACAGCTAAAAAGTTAGCTGTCCCCCTGCGGGTCACAAACGTTGGACTCATTGGCTGACTGTCCACAAAGATTATAAATAAGTTGGTCACCATCCTGGGGGGTGAGAGCCTGTTTTCACACTGCCAGAAGTCGTTGGCCCTCCTCGGGGACAACACACTCAGTGTGACCTGTGACAATCAAATGTGGCCCTGGAGTCCCTTGGCAGCTGGCTCTCAGGCGACTGCCTGTGGTCAAAGCCTTCACAGTCTTCTGCCTTCTGGAAGTCTCCAGGTCATCCCCAGGGAGGGTCTGGGAAAGGAACCTGTCCTATTCCCACTCCCCAGCATGCCTGGACCCTGGACCCCGTGCCCCAAGGGGTCCTCTCAAACACCCGAGAACCTGCTCTGACAGCCACCTGCCCACCCCCAAGGGCACCTGGGCCTCGCAGGAACAGTCATTCACCCCCAGCACCTGCTTCTGCACCGCCTTTTTGGAGACAGGACAGGGCAGGGCAGGGCAGGGCAGGGCAGAGCCCGGGACTGAGACGCTACTGGGGCTGGGGAAGCGGCTCAATGGGAAAGTGTCTGTGTAGCCTGCAGAAGGCCCCGGGTCGATCCCCAGCACCAAAAAGTAAAAAGAACGGGGTACCATTGACCATGGCAACTGGAGGCTAGGGGTGGACTCCCTGACCTCCGGGCATTCAGCAAAAAGACAGGCAGCAAGACGGCCCTGGCCTAAGGGGCACCACTCTCTCTGAAGAGTGAATGGCCAGGAGTTGACGGCTCTGGGCATGAGGAGGGTGGCCGCCAAGGTCAGAGGTGAGAAAGCAGCTCCTCATGGGAGGAGACAGGGCGCCAGCCAGCGCCTTCCCGCGGACGCCTCTGAGTGCAGCTGAGTTACCTGGGCAACGGACCCAGCAAAGGTGCAGGGAGGAGCCAGAGGCAGGAGGAGGGGCGGGACGCTGGTGGCCTAGGCAGGAGGGGCAGGGGGTGGCAGAGGACGGCTCTGCCTGAGACGGGAAACTCAGATGCATCTTGAAGTCGAGGGTGGGGAAGTGTTTGAGGTGGTACAGGATTAGTGAGAAGTGCTCCCTGCTGCGCCAGAGTGTCCCAGCCTCCCACGAGACCACCCCACAGCCCTGGCGACCKGCTCCCTGGAGAGAGGCCACAGCCCCACCACCRTCAAGCTGGGGAGGGGGTGGGGGGYCCACAACCCAAGGAGGAGGGGGAAGGCAGCCGGCCCCCTCTCTAACTCTGGACCCCGGGAGGAAAACCAGCTCTAGAAGAAAATAAATAAAGAACAATAAGAAGGACCCCAAATCCTCTTTGCTCTGACCCTGATTTCTCAACAGGATCTGGCCCTAAGCTGCAGAGAGGAAAGCCACTAATTTAAGGAAAGAAAGAAAGAAAGCAGAGTCCCCACTCAGGTCAGGGGACGCCCAGGACCTTCAGACTATCAGGACCATCTCGGCGTCTCTCAGAAAGAGCAGCCGCCTGGTACCTGCGCCCTGCCTCCCTGCTCCAGGCGGAAACCCCAGCGCTCAGCAGAGCCGCCTGCCAGTGTCATCGCCTACGGCCTGTGAGGGTGGGAGCCGGGGATCATTCTGTCCCGATTTCTCAACCTCCTCACTCACACTGGCTCCCCTTGGCATCGACTCTGCACACGCTCCGGGTACGTGCCGGGTTCCTCCTCAAGAGGCCAAGCCTGGGTGGCGCATCCCTTCCCCAGAACAGATACCAGCCCAAGACAGGCAGAAAAGCCACAAACCCAGMAAGAAAGGCCGGGAACGTCAGAACCCAGCGACCTGGGCACCAGGCACAGGCCCCTCGTCAATCACTAAAGGCCTTTGAGAGGGAACCGCCACCAGAGATGCAAAATCACCCAACCTGACTGGGGTGCCCAGGTCACCCTGTCCATCCTCCTGCCTCACACTGGCCAGCCAAGCCAAGCATCACACAAGCTCTGAAGCAAAATGGAGTGTCACTCCTCTGTCCCCAGGGCTACTGGAGTGACTCTAAGCTCTCCCACGGCGATTTTTCACCCTAACCCAAACAAACACTCCTGTCCCAGAGCCCGTTCCTCCACGAAGCTGGGGGGCAGATGCTCACCTCCCCCCAAAACAGACCCATGGTTAGAAGTGGTCTCTGGCCACAGTCAGCCCCTTCCAATAACTTCTCCCCTCCACTAACAAGTCTTGGTTCCCACTGATTCTAGAGCCAGAGTGAGATGGATTTTTTTAAAATCTGTCTCTCTTCTTACCATCATCACAAGAGGCCCCATGGATCGAGCCGGCACTCACCGAGTGCCTGACGCTCCTCTGACTCAGTCTCCCTCTTGACGGCTGGGCAATGGGTTCCAGGCCGCGTGACTGATCCAAGATCACACCCTGGAAGTGGCCGACCTAGGACTCCGACCTTGATCTGATTCTTTGACACCATGCCACCAGCACCCAGGCAACACAGGGATATCCGCCCCCCCTTTCCCCACCTTGGGTCCACAGGGCCTGGCACATACAAGACGCCCAGAAAATAGTTGTCCCATAGGTGACTCAAAACATGGGGATCCAGATGGAAGGACAGAGGGTAAGCAGGTTAAAGGAGCCCTGCCTGCCCCAATTCCAGCCCAAGGGTGCACAAGAAGTAGCCGCCTCACCAGCGGAGGCAAGCAGGACCCTCTGTACCGTTGCCCTCTCTGTGCCACCACCAGTCAGAGGGTCAGTGACTTAGGAACAGAAGAAGCCAAGCACCGCAGGTCACTTCACCCTCGGTCACCCACAGCCTGCCTGCCCGGCTCTGGAGAAACCCCCTTCCCTGAGCATGGCCACTGTCTTTGGGAAAAGCCATTTCCTTAAGAGCTCGAACCACACGGGTCACCTGGTGTGGCCTCTTCCCCTCGGCCTCTGCCCTTGGGCCTTTATCGGTTGCTGACCCCCCCAGGTGGCTGCCAGCCCTGTCTCCGGAAGCAGAGCGCCCAGCAGGAGAGGTGACTCTGAGAAAGCAGTGAGCAGAGGGACCCGCAGACTCAGAGGCTTGTTTCAAGGAATGACTAAGTGAGCTGCGTTTCCAGGGGAAACCCCACTTGCTTCTCTGCTCACCGAGGGGCAGGAGCTATTTAGACTGAGCAGCTTCCCAGGGCTGCCCTCGGCTGGGGCTGCCCCCACAGGGCAGGTGGGTCCGGGAAGACCCTCTCTCTGCCTGGGAGTCGACCCTCTGAATATTCAGGTTGCCTGACAGGTCTGCCCCACCGGATTCCAGAGTGGGCTAGCCCGCCCACCCCCGGTTAAAGTGACATGCTGGGAATGGGGGAAATCCGATCAGCACCTCCCAGGTTTTTGCGGCTGGATTTCAACAAGGAATGTGACAGTCTCGCAGCAGCTGTGCCCGGCCTGAAACCAGCTCTATTTGAATCCTCCAACAGCTGAGCCCCTCCCAGCTACCCGCCAGCCAGCCCAGCCACCCCCTGCCCCAAATGACAATAAATAGAGAAATCCAAGCGACAAGCAGGCATAGGCACAAGTATCTGTCTCTCACACACACGCACACGCGCACACACACACACCCCAACAGATTGGGGCTGAGGGGTACCGTGGGAAGAAAGACACTTGTCCAGGGGTTCCCCAGGTCTCTGAGCCTTCCAGCCCACGGCAGAAGGGCTCCCTGGCAAGTAGAGCATCAGCGGGAACCCACCTTCCTCCATCTCCACTCCCCCTGCAAGGGAAGCCCCTTCCTCCGTCCTGGGGCTCCACCGAGAGGCTGCAGCGGTGGGGCCGGCACCCCCCGAAGCCAGTGCCTGCCGTCTCCACCCGGGCGCACTCACACATGCCCTCATCTTTATTTATCCCGAGGAGAAGGAGTTGGGGTGGGAGGGGAGAACCGCGGCTGAGCTGGGGGCGCTGGCTGGCGGGGACCGCTGGGGGAAGCCTGTCATCCCATCCCAAGGAGAGGCGGTCCCCCCAGGCTGAAGCCAAGGCGGTGCCCATCTGCTCTGCTTGGGTAACACCTGTAGCCATTTTTATCAAGGGCTGTTTATGAGGCAGCAGCAGGTTTATCCTGAGTCCTCTTTCCTGAGGGAAGAGACTGCTGGTTTCCTCCGCCTGTATTTTTACCCCGATGCCCTGGGGAGACTCAGGTCACCCGGTGCTTTCCTATTTTGCCCCAAGCCTCTTGGGGGAAGAGGAGGGAAATAGAAACTTGGGAAGAGAAGGAGAATAGAAGGGACTTGGGCAGTGGGTACAGAATCCCCCACCCCCACCCAGACATTTATTTCTTTTTTATCCTGGGGAAAATGGAGTGGAGCAGGGAGGGGAGGAGAGGAGGGGAAGTCGCAGGAACTGGCAAACACATCAAGGCAGAGTGTAATTAATTGGTGCGTTAAGCTGCTGGGTTATGCTTTAGTACAAGTGAGCCAGGAGGAAAAACGATTTCTCAGAAGGGATTCTTTAATCCTCCCTAACACGGAGTCTGCAAATTAGACACAGTGTATGGGGATGTCCCCCCCCAAAAGGAAGTGAGGAATGAATTCTCCCGGGATCAAGAAGGAAAACCATGGGAAGTTAGAGTGTTCCATATAACTGAGCTAATGCCTCTCCCACCACCACCTCTCTCTCTCTCATTCTCTCTCTCTCTCTCTCTCTCTCTCTCTCTCTCTCTCTCTCTCTCTCTCACTACCTACATATTCCTTTTGTTCAAGGTATAAAGAGAAACCACAGCCCCTACCTTTGAGTACAAACCCCAAGACAGCTCGGTCTCTATCACCATAACAACAATTCCAAACATCCCAAAAATCAGAGCATAGTCACTCAGTCGCTTTCTCTTTTCAAACAGGGCCCTCCTGTGTCCCAGCTTATAGCCAATGTTTTGGTTTTTCCGCTTGTTGGCTTTGGGGAAGGTGGTGCCGCTGGCAGTGGTGCCGGCATGCTGGTGGTTGTGGGTAGCGTTGGGGTGATGGAGCAGGGTCTGGTGGGCATGATTGTCCTCCCGGGAGGAGATGACGATCTCCGGGGGGTTGCTGGGGCTGAAAAGCTGGAGGGGTTGGCCCTCAGGCTCGGCCTCAATGAGGTTCCTCCGGGAGGCGCTGAGGCGGCTGAGGGGCTTCATGACCCCACCGCTGTACTTGCAGGAGCTCATGGCGATCTCTGTGAAGGGGTTGCTGTCCCGCCGGTGGACCAGGGGGCTGGCCTGCCGGTGCCGGCTACCTCCTCCAGGCCCACTTGTGGCTGTGGAACTTGGAGAGTGGCCAAGCAAGTGGTCATTGAGATTGAGCTGGCTGCCTTGCCTGGAGGAAGGGTGGAGGATGGCCGTGGAGTTGGACGAAGGGGGGGCCCTGAAAGCAGTGGGAGGGGAGTGCAGCAGGCCAGGGTGGACAAGCTGGCTCTGGAGTTGGGCGAGCTGAGACAGGGGATGCGGTGGCTGCTGCTGCTGCTGCTGCTGCTGCTGAATCTGCGGAGGCTGAGGCTGAGGCTGCAACGAGGGTCCTGGGGGCTGCTGGGGGGCTGTTGGGGGCGCTGGCGGCGGTGGCTGCTGCTGTTGCTGCTGCTGCTGCTGCTGCTGCTCATCCCCAGAGGATGGACAGGGGCACTTGGGGTCTTCATCCAGGTCCCCCACCCCCGAGTCATGGAAGTGCCCAGAAGTGTCCATCTTGGGGCCTGGCTGGATTCCCTGCAGCACAACCCCCCACCCCAAAGCCACCCTCGCTCCAAAGATGTCCTCAAAGAAAGCCAGGCATCCAAGCTCCCCCACCAGAGTGTCTTGGCTCCAGTCCTCTCTTTGGCTTGCTTCGGTTCTCTGGGGCTGCCTGGAGTCCAGACGCTGCCTCTCAAGAATGCATTGTATTGGGCAGTGAGGAAGGGCAGCAGGGGAGCCTGGAGAAGGAAGGAGCGGGCAAAGAACTCTAGCTCAGGAGGTGGTCCTCTAGGAGCGCGTGAGGCCAGGCTGAGCTGCACTCCTCGCTGGCTCGATAGCTTCGCTTTCCTCCTCCTGCCACTGTTATACTGGAAGCCAAGCCCACTTATTAGCAGCTGGTCTCATTGGCTCGGCTCAACTCTCCAACCGCCTCCTAACTCCGCCCCCCTCCCAGGCTCCGCCCCGAAGGAGGGGCCTGCAGTCCCAGGCTCCCGGCCGGGCCGCAGCGCAGCGAGGGCTGGGAACTGTAGTTTTTGCTC